CTTAGAGCTTAAGATTTTCTCGAAGTATAAGATTTAGCCTTTTAGCTATAGCTAACTTATTCTATAAAGTACTTATATCTACTCGTAATCGTTTTTAAATTATCGTATATAATATTAAGAAGCCGCTATATAGTCGCTTATTAGCTAAATAGCTTCTATTACGAATTAGTGTTCTACTTAAAGATATTAAGAGAAATAGAATAGAATTATTCTAAACTTATCGCTAGCGGCCTATATATAGTTAGTATTACTTATAAATTACTATAGATAATTAGTACTTTAACTTCTTCTAGTACTTTAACTTCTTTAATCTTATCGACTTAGAATACTAGTAGAACTAGTAATTCGATAGTTAATCGTATATCTATTAAGCGCTATTATATATTAAGCTAGAATCTCGGAATTAATATCTCGACTACTAGTAAGTAGTTAATATTACTTATAAGTCTTTTTAAGAGCTCTTATTATTATATTATATTAAGTAAGCGGAGACTTATTCTACTATTATATAATCTTTAGTAGAAAAATTCGATAAAGTTCGTATTCCGAATACTATTTACGAAGAATTCTATATCTATTTAAGTAAAGTTTATATTAAGTTCTAATAAGATCTATAGTATTTATTTATAATAAGTCTAGATTAAGAGCTCTTTATTCTTTTTTATCTTCTTAAGAATATTCTTAATATTCTCGTAAATACTTATAACTAGTATTTAGTAGAGAGTCTCGTAAAGTTTATATATACTATACTTCTATTAAAGGCCGCGGTAGAAGTAGATAGTATAGTAGATAAAAATCGATTAGATATACTTTTTCTAGATATAAGAAGTATCGATATTAGATAGAAATCGTTTAAAATCTAGAGTATTATTAGTTAGTTTTATATACGAGTATTTAAAATACTACCTAGATAAATATATATATTTATAACTAGAAATATCTTATCTACTATCTACTTTATATCTATATTAATTATAATTAATTATAGCTCTTTTTCGTAAATATAATAAAATATAATAGATTCTTTATTAATCTTTAAAATAACTTAAAAAAGCTAGTAGAAAGTATAATAGTAGAATTTCGTTATCTTAATAC